GTAAATAGGAAACTTCATTGGCTATTAGAAGCACTATTTGAATTTGAGCTAACTGTTTAGCATTATAGAAAAAGATCAAAAATAAAGTGGTCTTATATTTTTGAGCAGTACTGTATTTTTGTCTAGTAAAAAATGTTTGTAATTCATCTTTAGAATGTTGGTGAAGGCATGTTAATTTTCTTCCATTATGACGATGTGTATAAAAATCAGTGAAACTATCAAATGTGAGTTTTAACTAAAATGATAATTCACTTATGAAAGGAAATGAGTAATAAGGAGAATCTTACTTCGATAGGTAAAATGAAATTCGATGGAGCAGAAAATGGCCATGAGTTTGAACTGAGAACCATGATAGAAAAATCAGCTAAAACAAATTAGATGAACTTTTCATCGATAATGTTTTCTCTAAAGTTGTCATACCTATGCCAGTGGCACGATGATTTTCGCGGTACTTTTCATATTCAGGCACAAGAGTTTTACTCACACCAATATCTTGAAACATTCGTTGTAATTTTGATGTATATTCATAGCCACATGCTTGCTGAAAAAAAAAACAACAAATTAAATGTTATATTAAGTTGAAATGTTTACTTTAAGTTTTGATATCATTGATTCTTCATAATCATCGGATGCACTTAATTGACCAACTAATCGTTTTGCTAACATTCTACTATAGAATTTTTGATAAACGTCTTTATCTTCAACATAATTAAAAGCGATCTAAAATGTCAATAGATTTATTTTTGCAGAACGAGAAATGAAATCAAACCATAATTTGATTGAATTTCTCTTCAAGATCAGTTTCTTCAACACCTTTATTTCTACAAAAGATTATCGAAACATTTTTAATTATGACTAAATTAAATTAAAACCAACCCTTTTCGTAAAAGTATATCACAATATCGAGCAAGTAATTCAGGTGATTTGGTTGTACTACCAGCTGTTTGTGTCACTGGATTATTATTAATAAATTTAGCACAAGCCAAAAATATGAAATAATTAATCATAAAATCAAACAACGCTTCTTTACTTTATCAAGAGCGATAATAAAATCTTGTGCATTACTGAAAACATTTTGTACAAGTGTTAAATATTTCTTATGAATATCAAGAATTGTTTCAATATAAAGTTTCGGGTCCTAAATCGAATAAAAATAAGATATAAAAATAGATGTGAATGGAGTTAAACTTACATTAATAGCTGTTCCACTAACACGTTCAATAGTATTGATACCCATTTCATAAATATGATTTTCAACAATTTTTTTCAATTCATTAGTTGCATTAGGTACTCGATTGACTAATTTGAAAAGAAGTGCTAAATCTATATCAAAATAAAATGTCTTTAGTAGATTTTTGAAGATATATAGATCAATGTTTACCTTGATGTCTTTCATCACGAAGAAGTGTTTTTGATTCTGAATAAATAACATAAAGTTGATCACGAATAAGAACTTCTTCAACTTTTTTAAGGCCTCCCGCGCCGCCCCCCCCCCCCGCGCACCCACCCTCCGCCCCCGACAAACCATGCAGACCGCGAGAATCGCT